GAAACCCGGTTTCTAGTATTGTAAGTCAGCAGACATACCGTTGTGCCACTGGGGGGGGGGGGCATCCGATGCGACGGAGGAGTGAAAGATATAAATCTAAGACTCGAAAAAACAATCTGAAAACAAAATCAAGGAAGTTATCATTCACTCCATTTTAACAATCCTTATCGTTGTTAAGTTTTTAAAGTGATGAAATAATAGAAAGAAACTATTAAACAAAACTGAAAGTTGTAAATGATATATTTCAAATGTCACATGAATATTTGGAACATATGACTGATATAAAAAAAGTGACAACTTCGTGATATTGTTTCTAATAACATTGTATTTTACGGAGTTAAAGAAAGGCACTGCACTTAATAATAATATACGATTAACACTTTTTAATTCATGGAGTATAATTAGCGTAATACATTGAAATCAAAATTGAATATAAATTGGGGTGAACAAACATGGCGTTCTACAAAGCATATGTTATTATCATTATTCTACTCGAACGTTTTAGCTGGTGATAAAAGTTTTTAAAGTTTAATTTTCGTTATTAAATCCCATTGATTTCTTAGTTTAAAAAAGATGTTATGGGACATAACTTGATAAGTGAAGACATGCAATAAATATTCGAACATTATTTTTGCTGATCAGAAAGTTCATTAGAAAACACTTCTAACTATGCATCAATATAGCGATAAGTTTTTTCGTTTTGTTTTATAATAAGAATGCACTTAAAATTTTAATTAGTGAATACAAAATTTCTGAAAAGTTAACAAAACATTATGATGAAAGTTATATGACTCAAACCTTCACAGTCGAAAAAAAAAAGAACTGATTGAATTTCAAAAGAAATATTATAAAAAGTTATAATTATGAGATGGCCTCTCTAAGATTTGAACATCACGATCTCGTGATAGCTCTGAAACTATTTGTCTGATTTGTGCAAAAAAACTTGCATATTGTCTAGTTTAAACATGAAAAGACACAAGGTAAGACATCTCACGTCGTTGCTCTTTCGAATTTTTAATTTATGAGTTTACAGTAACTATACCTGTTGGCCTATTTATGCGATAAGTACTAATCGCAATATTACACTAACAGAATAACATATTTCTGTATTTTTGTTTTCAAAAGTTGTATACACATGCAGATATTGTATTTTGTATGTTGAACACTTAACCGTTTCACACTGCTTATCAATTTCTCTCCCTAATGATTTCACTAAATCCAACAAGATTTTGATTTGAACCTAATTTAACGAATATAAGTTCAAACAAAAACGTTTATACATGACTCTATTAAAAAAGAAAAAGGGGTGGAATTCGTGGCTAAACACTTGTACAGTAATTTGTTTAAATGTTTCATGCGCCATCTTTGTTGGATCACGTTCATTTATTACTTATCAGACACTAAAGGTTATAAAAATTATCTTTGAATGCCTGAAGTTACTTTGAGAACATAGAAACATATAAAGTTACTTCAGGGGTATTTTTTCCGTTACGGTTTTATCACGGAATTGGGTAATGGTGTAGGTTTAGAAGTTTCTACTCTGCAGAAAACCAAATATGAAGATCTAGAAACAATCTACTATTAAAAGTTCAAACAAGCTTCACTGGGGAATTATTTTTCATTTATGCATATATAACTTTTTGTTAGATATATATGTTACATATTTGAAAATGAAAATACACACACACATTAAACTAATCCCATGAACTACAAAGTTATAAAAATGGATACCACAAACAAACTAACAGCAAACTCGCCGA